CAGTTGTAAAATGTATAAAATAATACGTTAAAATACTAGGCTCATAATAAAATTACAAAAAAAAGAAATCTGAGTTCTTTGAAATTTAATAATAGTCCTAAATATTATTATCGAAAACAAGACTGAATAATTTCATGGAGTGTATAGAACAAAAAGGAAGAAGGGAGAGTAAAAGGACGTAAAACGAATAAACAAAACTTGCGCCGAGAAATGCAGTCTTAATGTCATTCAAATTAAATCATTTTGATATTACAAATGATGAAAAATAATGTTATTCTAATAAAAAAAGACAATTAGTTTTAATTGATAAATATATATAACATAATAATTAATTTAAATCAATAAAATATTTAAACAAAAATTACTATTATAATTAACATTGTAAAAAATATACTTTTTTATTGTGCAATCTAATTTTTATTTATATTAATGTAGTATTTTTAATTAATTTTTTTTGTTTGACTTATTCTAATTTGCACATTACTGTTTGTTGCGCTTTCTTTCGTTTCAAATACTCTGATACTTGCTCTCCTATCCTGCTCCTCGTATACTTGGGTGACATGCCTTCTAACAGAGCACTTAAATATGGAAAAGTCCCTTCTACTATTATTGATCGTGTTAATAATAAGGAGTATCACAAGGGTAATTTTCTCGGCCAGGCAAGCTTAAATTATATTATCTCCATTAGGGTGGTTTTGCCATATGCTTTGAGCTTACGGACGTTGCAACCAAGCAGAAATACGCAGGAAAAATTATTCTCAAATCTGATCTCAAAAGAACTTCTCAAAAGCAAAAGTTCAATCAGGAAATAGAGATACACAGGTCCTTAACACATGAACATATCGTAGGATTTCACTCTTCTTTTGAGGATGCTGAATTCCATTACATTTTGCTAGAGCTCTGCAATAGATTTGTAATCCATTTTAAATAAGTTATTCTGTAGTCTTTAATGGAGCTTCATAAACGTCGGAAAGTTGTTACTGAACCTGAAGCTCGATACTTCCTTCGTCATGTCATACTAGGTTGCGCATATTTGCATCAGAGCAGGATTATTCATCGTGATCTCAAGCTTGCAAATTTGTTTTTAAACGATAATATGTGTGTCAAATTAGGTGATTTTGGACTAGCTACGCGGATAAATGTGAAGGAAGAGAAGAAAAAGACCTTGTGTGGGACACCAAATTATATCGCTCCGGAGATTCTCTTCAAACAAGGACATAGTTTCGAAGTTGATCTATGGTCATTGGGTTGTATATTGTAAGTA